AAAAATATTTGTTAACAGCTTTGCATGCCAAATCCTGTTAGAATGTCATGTGGCATTTCCCCTCTGCACCATGGTTAACCAGTGGATGAGGCCATTATTTGTAGGGAAGGGGTAAGGGGTGGTAGGGCTAGTTTCACCCTTGATGTAAAAACCTCCCATGCAACCAGTTACAATGTGTACCTGTCGAATATCTTACTCAAGTTGTCATTAAATTGATTTTGGATCTTTAAATCACCCCATCACATCTCTGGATATTAACCATGGCACCCAGTAGTAGAATTGCATGTTAGTGATGCTGGAGGTGGACAAGTGCAGTATAATGCAATCCTTTATTGACAAAGTTTTGCCTACACAATGGGCTTTATGAAGCCCAATTCTCTCCACATATTTCAAGGTTAACAAATTCAGACTTATTATGAAAAAAACTAAAGCGCTAAACTCACCAGGATCATACAGTGTTGCAGGGTATGGTGTGTGAACTGTGTAATATGCTTGATCTGAAACTCCCAAGGGTGGAGGAAAAGGGTAGAATTTATAAGGGCAGTCAGCAAGTTCAGAACAACTAACCAGAATTTGTTAGAATTATTTATATATATTATTTTTTTGGCTATATGTTCTGCACACCTCACTACATCCAACTGTAAGGTATGTTCTTTGGTTCACTTAACATGTTTTCAGGTAACATAACCAAGTTATTCAGAACTCAACTGTGATCACCACACTTGTAACTGAGTGATCTACTCCTTCAGCCTTTCCTTCAAGAGCTGCCTTTATGCTGAAGTGCTCTTGATCCAAGAAATTAGAACTACCTATAAATATACAGCCTTATGCTGTATTGATTAATAATGACTAATGGAAGAAAAAATGACGTGTTGTTCTCTTATGATAAGCAATAGCAATAAGGATTTTTGTTTCAATATGAACCTATAGTTCTTCTGTTTACAAATAAAAAAATACTAGTTTATTAATAATTAAAAAAAAAATATTTACTTGTGGGTTTCAGTACCATCAGCTTTTCAAGAGCAAAATTTTCTTGAAATTTTGGGTTCAACACATTCCTACATAATTTCTTTGGTTTGTTAAACTTTTATTTTATTTTTCATTACCTTTCAAGGTGACTTGATGTAGGCGAGGAGCTCTTGATTCAAGGAATTCTAGTAACCCTCCCCATGAATATACTTAAAACCTAATTAAATAATACTTTTTTGGCTAACATTGCAACTCTGTATAGCCCTTGTGATTTAGCACTTCTTTTTTATAATAATAATAATAATAATAATTTGGCTAACATACAGTATAATGTTAATATTTTTATTTAGCATTTCTCAAGATCTGCGAGAGTTCATAGCAATAAATTCCAAGCCATCTGTAAGTCCAAACTTACTGAGGGTAGCCATCATGACCACCACTCCCAACACAAGTCCAAGGAAGAACATTCCTATTCCCATTCCAGCCATATCTCCTGAAATACCATATAACTGTTAAAGAAATATTTGTGGAAAGTTCACACAGTATGTAATTTATGCAAGTTTTTGTAAATTTTATTACTAAAAGCACCGATATATCTTATAAAATATGTAGCCATGAAAATTGCTGATACATTTTTGATGCGACTTTGTACATGTGGCAACAGTAGTAGAGCTATGCTTGTAGTGTCCCATCTTTAATATTTAATCTATCAGGTAATTTTTTAATTTCCAGTGCCTGTAGTACTTTACCTTTATTTGTGAATCCTTCAAGGGGCATACATTAATAGTGAATGGTTCTAGATACAAAGAAATACAGTGGTACCTCGGTACACGTCCTTAATCCGTTCCAGGACCTTGGACTTACACCAAACAGGACGTATACCGAACGAATTTTCGCTTAAGAAATATAGGGAAAATAATTAATCCGTTCCCATGAAAAAATCCTATTGTATTGGCATATTATACATTGATGGGGTTGTATAAAATAATTTAAACACTGCTTAATACTAAAATACGTACATAAATACAAAAAGAATTAGATGAAATAAATGGAAATTTAACATTACTTTACTCTGCTGTAAAGAGTAGTGTCTGTTAGGATAGTGCTGAGACGGGAGGACGAGGAAATGTTATTGTTTGGAAGGAAAGTCCCCCTTCTCTTTTCTCTCTCTTTTCCCTATTTGGACCTGATTGAAGCTCACCATGTTTTAACTTTTACTAAAAATCTCTCCAAGGTACTTTGTTTCTGCCTTCTCCTCAGGATGTTTCGGAAATGTGACAGTCTGGTCATTCCCGACAATGTTATTACGGCTTGTTGGGGCTTTGTTGGGGGTGGTACGTCTCTGCAAAGTTTTTGACATCCATCCACTTGGATGGAAGTGGGGTGTCGTGACTCACTTTGACCCATACAAGTTCTAGCACATGAGTCGTATTCCAAACAAAGGTCGTATACCAAGCAAAAATTTTTGCATCCAAACAGGACGTATACCAAGTTGGACTTATTCCAAAGCGGAGGTATATCGAGGTACCACTGTAGTGCTATCCTCCTTTTCCTCAGATCAAACCTTATTACCCCTTATTCCCAGGCACTGTTTGGTCCTTACAGGTTTAGTGGTGAACCTCTCCATTAATTAATAAAATAATTCATCTAAAGACAGATGTGAGGGACAATCCTCATAAGTAGACTTACCTGGCGTGTACTCTGCTTGACTCTTATTTTTCACGTGGCCCTCGAGATAAGCTGCTTGCTGAAGGTTGGCACCAGGAAGGTTTACAAACTCAATATCGACAGTGACGAGGATCATAGATTCAGCATGAGTTTGGCTAGTTTTTTCATTATTAATTGCAGTTCTGTTCTTGTGTGCAGTATGTAATGAAGGTATACTGTTCAGCTGAGGTTTGTTATCATCTGGTAACTGCAACCTGTGTGGTGAAGGGCTCAACATGGGCGTGCAGTTGTCGTCAAACAGTTCATGTAGGCTGTTATTGTAGGCTTCCATAATCTTAATGTGCTGGATGCAAAGATTAAAAAACTCATTTTATTTACCATCAAGTATGTTAGCTCAATAATGATATTGCTTGACTTACAACCAAAGGAATAAGAGTTCAATTTCAAGTATGTGACTTATGGGCAGGTCCCCTAGCACATACTGTCATTGTTCACTTAGTAATAAATAGGTGTCTGGATGTTAACTGACTGTTAATAGCACTTAGCCTGTGTGTTCACTTATAAATAAAATGAGTAATAGTGAAAAATGAGCTGAACCAATACTGTAAAGTCCGTGTTTATAATGTTATGGCAGTGAAGGGATATTGATCCAAGGAACTGGAGCCATTTTCTCTTTCCTTGGATGGAATTTGATTGCCTCCCATTCCCCAAACACTATATGACCTTCGGGCTTAGTGCTCCCACATGAATGAAATAAAAATGCACAACCTGCACCGACTTCTATCATTCTTGAACATCAACATCCTGAGACACTAGCATCCTCACCCCCTCAAGATTATCGGTGTTGTTGAAGTTAATGGAGCTGCCCTTCCCTTCCCTTGGATCAAAATGTAGATGTTAATAGCATCTTAGTTCTTGATGATAGTAAAAGGCTGTTGAGTCAAGGAATAGAGCTCTTTCCTTCCATTCCTTGGATCGAATTTGTTTACCTTTCATTCACCAGGTTCTGCATGATCCTCATGGGTTTAGAGCTTCCCCACAGTTAAATGAATAATGGTGAATGTGATTTCTTCTTTGGATCGCCCTGCCTTGGCAGGAGACGGTCACTGAATTAAAACTAATTAAATATATAATAAAATAAGGTTTTCTTCTTATTTTTAGAAATTTATACAGGAGAAGGGATTACTAGCCCATTGTTCCCTGCATTTTAGTCAGCTTTTGAGACATGCATGGCTTAAGGAAGATTCTTATTCCACTTCCCCATGGAGAGACATATGAACTGTTGTATCTATGTGCCTCTGGCAAAACAATGATAATGTGGAAATTTATTTGGTCCCTAAAGTTCCACAGGACAGATCCAGCATGGCCGTGATGGAACGGCTGAGCTGGATGGCCCTTAAAACCCTCCCAAACAAACAGCATTCTCTTTAGTTGGCGGTGGAATGTTGGTAGGCATTTATTTAATTTATAGATTTACTCTTCAGGGAAGGAGTAGGTAGTTTTACTGTTAGTACACTAATATTAGGTTTACTAAGGCATCTGTAGATAATAATAATGTAGACCTAAGACCTTAACATAGGTAGTAATAGGCTGATAATGTAGGCAAACACTAGGATAAGTTAGCTAGGGAGAACTGGCAGCCCTAGTTTGAACGAAGAGACAAGGGTCTGGAAGGGAGACCAGCTCGTTCTTCTTAAGACAGACGCCAACTGGACAAGACGTGCCGTGATCAGCAGACGGCGCCCCCCACGTGTCTTCATATTTGAGACCTGGGGAAATCTGGTAGAGGCACCTCGATGTACCGTAGATGACCTCCGTCAGGCCCATACAGTAAGACAAGACCTCCACTGTTTCTCGTAGATTTCTGGCCAGTGTCTGGGGAGATTGTGAGTTGAGTTTTATCTGTGGGCCCGGTGTGCAACAGGCAGAGCATGCCCAGTAAGTACCAGTGTCTCAAGGCAGTCTGGAAGCTAGTGTCCGTGTCTGCATAGTTATACTAGGGGATACTTACCCTCTTGGATATAGGAATTTCTGAGGTGCAGGCAGGACACTAATAACGATTGAATATTGCAGGAATTAAGGCTCCCGGTTGCACGTGGTTTCTGAGGGGAAGTCCAAAGGGGCTAAGGCTAAGCTTAGGGAAGTTGAAGATCAGGATATATGCTGCAACACCAAGTTAGTCCTTTATACGTACATGCAGGCGAGTTTCTTGCAACATCAATCATTTGGATCCTCTCCAAGATACGATACTACGTGCCGCAAAATGCCCTTCTCACACTATACCACTCACTTATTTATCCATACCTCACCTATGCTATTTGTGCTTGGGGATCAACTGCAGCAACACACCTAAAGCCAATAATAACCCAACAAAAAGCTGCAGTAAGAATAATCACTAAATCCCATCCCTGGCAGCACACCCCCCCACTCTTCAAAGATCTAAACTTACTCCCAGTTCAGTACATCCACACTTACTACTGTGCAATCTATATCTACAGGGCCTTAAACTCTAATATCAACCTTGACCTAAAACGCTTTCTTGATAGTTGTGACAGAACCCACAGGCATAACACCAGAAACAAACATCTCTACGACATTCCCCGTGTCCGACTAAACCTTTACAAAAATTCAATGTATGTCAAAGGCCCTAAAATCTGGAATACCCTACCTGAGAACTCTAGAACTGCAGACACATTCATCACCTTCAAAACTACCATTAGAAAACATCTTATCTCCCTGATACACCCCGTCAACTAACTTCACGAATACCACCTGGTGGTTCACACTTACAATCGCTCACTCATTTGACCATAAACAGAAATATTAATCTCAGTCTTAAAATAATGAATCCTGTGATACTCCAATACTGAAACTATATACTGTGCCAAAACAAAAGCATTCACATTGCTAAACTCACAAAATAGTATTTAGTCACTTAGCCATAATACCAACTTACCTCATAATTTGTAATATTTTACATTTAAGAATAAAACTAAGTATGCCCGAAATGCCTAGCCATGCTAAGCGTTCTAGTGGTACACTCTGTAATCTCAATTTTACTACATGTAAACCAAACAATAACCAAATTTCTGTAAACTCAGCATTGTAATCCTTATAGAGAATAAACTTTGAATTTGAATTTGAATTTGTGAAAATCTGTCCTATAAGCCACTTGTGAGGCTGAGGTACCCACCTCAGAGCTCGGTGTCAACAGAGTTTGCCAGGGTAGGCGACTCACTTGGAGGCAGTCCACACAAATTTTCACAGATAATGTGAATATTGGTGAGTGTTTCTTTTTAAGGTCACTCCAACAAAAAAAAATTAAAAATAATAAGAATTAATTTGTCTTACCCCAGGGGTGGTATAGCTGGGGTTGTAGAGGACAATAATGAGGTGGTCCATAGAATTTTGAAGTGTGGTCACCACCTGGTCGAGTGGTGGACCCACACTACTTGGGAAGGTCATGCCATCCACTTGTGGCTGATCCACCAGAGTGAACTGACAGTACAGCCAGCTGCTATGCTCATCAAATTCCATCTGTTGGGACAAATTATTTGGGGCTAAAGCAGTGAAACATTTATCAAAATAAAAATACCAAAAAGCAGTTGGCTAATTTAGGTTTTCACCGTAACTGCGATCTTAAATTTCATATTCACATCTAGTATATAGCCAAGGTCTCCAAACAGTAGACATCCTGTCCAAGATACGATACTATGTGCCCTAAACAGCACTACTTACACTTAGCTCATCTATGGTATTTGTGCTTGGGGATCTAATACAACTAATCAGTCACGAGGAAGCCTTCACCAAATTCAATTTCAATAACAAAAACATAAGGTGGGACCAAGTAAACCAAAGGTAATGAACTCCAGATAGCTCTGGTCACAATCATGACAAGTTACAAAGGTAATGAATCATCCTCACTCCTATACAAGGTTACAATCATGAACAAATTACAAAATAATGAGCCACTGACACGTCCACACCCGGTCACAATTGTAATGAGTTATAAATACACCCACACGTCATACACCCACACGAGCGCCAATGGCGCTCCCAATGGAAATAAGTCACTCTGTCTGACTTTTTTGGGTTATCCTAGGTTCCCTACACATATGCTGCTATGTATGATAATTCTATGTAACTGTATTTGTGTATACCTGAATAAACTTACTTACTTACTTACTTAGCGCGCGCGCACTCACATACAGACACGAGGGCGCACGCATAGACACATGCACACGAGCATACAAACATATACATACACATAAGCACACACACACACACACACGGGACCAGGAGCTTGGACTCGACCCCTGCAACCTCAACTAGGTGAGTACGTGGTAAAGCTTTATTTACAGCTAGCAAAGTCAGGGTATTTCTCCAGAATGGTCTGTAATATACCACTGTGGATAAAACACTTTGCCATTTCTTGAACATTTCTGAGTGAGTTGTCTCTAAATTCATTAATTTTAACGCACTCCAGTACATAATGACGCAGGGTGTGACAATAGTCTGCTACAAGAGGCTAATATATCTGCAATACTTAGGGAGACACTGGTCAGAGAAATAGCAAACATCGAACTAAAGCTAAAGGAATCTTACAGGAGTCAAGAAACGAAGGAGGAACTAAAAGCCATAAATAAAATTGAAAGAAACCTAAAGTATTTCTTTCTTATGCCAAATCAAAGTCGAGAACAACATCCAGTATTGGGCCCCTACTTAAACAAGATGGGTCTTACACAGATGACAGCAAGGAAATGAGTGAGCTACTCAAGTCCCAGTATGACTCAGTTTTTAGCAAGCCGCTAACCAGACTGAGAGTGGAAGACCTAAATGATTTTTTTATGAGAGAGGGACAGAATTTTGTAGACACACACCTATCTGATATTATTCTGACGCCAAATGACTTTGAAAAGGCGATAAATGACATGCCCATGCACTCTGCCCTAGGCCCAGACTCATGGCACTCCATGTTCATCAAGAACTGCAAGAAGCCCCTATCACGAGCTTTTATCATCCTGTGGAGAGGGAGCATGGACACTGGGGTTGTCTCACAGGTACTATAAAAACAGGCAGCCCCACTCCACAAAAGGGGCAGTAAAGCAATAACAAAGAACTACAGACCGATAGCACTAACCTCCCACGTCATAAAAATCTTTGAAAGGGTTGTAAGAAGCAAAATCACTACCCATCTAGATCACTACCCATCAGTTACACAACCCAGGGCAACATGGGTTTAGAGCAAGACGCTCCTGTCTGTCCCAACTACTGGACCACTGCGACAAGGTCCTGAATGCTTTAGAAGACAAACAGAATGCAGCTATAATATACACAGACTGTGCAAAAGCCTTTGACAAATGTGACCATGGTGTAATAGCACACAAAATGCGTGATAAAAGAATAATAGGAAAAGTTGGTAGATGGATCTATAATTTCCTAACAAATAGAACACAAAGAATAGTCAACAGAGTAAAGTCTGAGGCGGCTACGGAGAAAAGCTCTGTTCCACAAGGCGCAGTACTCGCTCCCATCTTGTTCCTCATCCTCATATCGGACATAGACAGGGATATAAGCCACAGCGCCGTGCCTTCCTTTGCAAATGACACCCGAATTTGTATGACAGTGTCCTCCACTGAAGACACTGCAAGACTCCAGGTGGACATCAACCAAATCGTTAAATGGGGCGCAAAAAACAATATGAAGTTCAGTGATGAGAAATTTTAATTACTCTGATATTGAAAACGTGAGGAAATTAAAACTTAATCGGATTATAGAACAAATTCCAACCACACAATAAAGCAAAACACTAATTTCACAGACCTGGGAGTGATCATGTATCAATCGCATCTGCTAGAAAAATTACAGGATGGATAATGAGAACCTTCAAAACCAGGGATGCCAAGCCCATGATGACACTCTTCAGGTTGCTTGTTCTATCTAGGCTGGAATATTGCTGTACACAAACAGCACCTCTCAAGGCAGGTGAAATTGCTGACCTAGAAAATATGCAGAGAACCTTCACGACAAACATAACTGCGATAAAGCACCTCAGTTACTGGGAACGCTTGAAGTTTCTAAACCTGTACTCCCTAGAATGCAGGCGGGAGAGATACATGATTATATACACTTGGAAAATCCTAGAGGGATTAGTACCAACCTTGGAGACGAAAATCACTCCTTACGAAAGTAAACGACGGCAGACGATGCAACATCCTCCCAATGAAAGCAGGGGTGCCACTAGCATGATAAGAGACAATATAGTAAGTGTGAGGGGCCTAAGACTGTTCAACTGCCTCCCAGCATACATAAGGGGGATTACCAATAGGCCCCTGACTGTCTTCAAGCAGGCACTGGACAAGCACCTAAAGTCGGTACCTGACCAGCCGGGCTGTGGGTCGTATGTTGGACTGCGTGCGGCTAGTAGTAACAGGCTGGTTGATCAGGCCCTGGTCCACCATGAGGCCTGGTCATAGACCGGGCCGCGGGGGCGTTGACCCCCGGAACTCTCTCCAGGTATACTAATTACCTCAAACCATTAATAACCCAAGAAAAAGCTGCTGTGTGGATGATCACCCGTTCCTGCGCCGGACACCACGACCCTCCACTCTTCATGTTACTTAATACGCAAAATATGTATTCATATTACTATGATTATATATATATATATATATATATATATATATATATATATATATATATATATATATATATATATATATAATATATATATATGCAAAACAACCACTGTGAAAGAGTAGTGAAATTCCAAGCTCTTTCGTGACTACTCACATTGTCAAGGAACTAGGAAAGTAATACATCAAAGGAAGGCAATTAAAGGGCTTAGACCACACCTCACAGTCAACTCTCACAACAAAGAAACACCTGACGCGGGACAATACCAGACTCATAAGAAAAGAGGAACACTGCAGTAGGTCCGCTGGTCCAACTAGACAGGTTCTCACGACAGCCCACCAACAAATTATTCTACCCAAGAAATAAGGTTTATTATTTGTCCAATGTATTATTAAACTCTAACCAAATTTTATTAATTATAAATGAATCTAATTTATACAAACCTAAGGAAATATTCGTATTATTTTCAAAACTGCTTTTTATGAAACAAGATTCAATTATATTTCTGTCAACCATGGACTTGCTTGATACTACTTTCTCAACTTTTTGAAAATCAGTTGGATGGTTAAAATCTCTCACATGAATAAATAGAGCATTGGAATCTTGTCCAGTTCTAATGCTATATTTATGTTGTTTTAATCTAAGTTCGAGACTTTTACCGGTTTGACCGTAATAAACTTTATTGCAAATTTTACAAGGAATCTTACAGACACATCCATCAGGATTTTGGGGGGAATTCTTTATCAAAAGTTTTTTTACTGTATCAAGATTTTTAAATGCAACTTTAATATTAAAAGTCTTAAGAAGAGAAGGCATATCAACCAAGTTTTCATGGTAAGGGAGAACCAACATATTTTTAGTTGAATAATGCTGGTTGTCCCTTTTTGGATTGTAAAAAGTATTTCTGGCAATTTTAAATGATTTATCAATTACATTTCTTGGGTATTTCAAATCATTAGCTATTTCATAAATTTTGGATATTTCTTCATCTATGACCCCTCAAGGAAGGTTCCTTGAGGGGTCATAGATGGTTGGTGAGGGGCTCTTGATTTAGGGAATTGGATCTGTGCTCCAGTTCCCCGAATTAAGCCTGAATGCCTTCCACATCCCCCCCCCCCAGGCGCTGTATAATCCTCCGGGTTTAGCGCTTCCCCTTGATTATAATAATAATAATAATAATCTTCATCTATGAACTCAGGACTACAAATACGTAAAGTTCTCAAAAACATTGATGAGAAAACAGACAGTTTAACTCTGTCGTGATGCGAGGAATAATAGTGTACATAGGAACAGTTATTTGTAGGTTTTCTGTAAATTTTAAATTTGAATTCATTATTCCCCTTAATAATTAAAACATCTAGAAAAGGCAGTGAGTTATTTTCCTCAAACTCAACAGTAAAGTTTATAGAATGGGCTAAGCTATTTAATTTTTGTGATCTTATTGCATATATATATATATATATATATATATATATATATATATATATATATTATATATATATATATATATATATATATATATATATATATATATTAAAGTCCAGTATAAACCCTCTCGTCTAACTGCTTCTTGACAGCCACAACAGAACACACACAGGCACAACACAAAGCACAAAACTCTTCAGCATTCCATGCTGTATAATCCTACAGGTTTATCGCTCTACCATGATTATAATAATAATTCAACATCCCATGTTGAATTATTATTATTATTATAATCATTTGCATTGCAAAAAATGCAATGCACATAAAGGGCCAAAAGATGTGGAATTCATTGCCAGAACAAGCAAGAGGTCCCCTGTCTGCCAACCAGTTTAGAGCTATAATTAAAATCACCTCATTTCCCAAACATAATTACATCGACACTTTGCCATACTGAACAAAACTAACTCGTCCAGTTA